CACAAATCTCCCCAGACCAACACACACAACAAATAAATATAAAAACTTCAAAGCTGTTTTCTTTTGTTTCAGCTAAGGTTTTCAGAGAAACTGCCAAAGAATCCGCTGCAATCTCAGTCACTGTCTCCTTTTTAGGTGAACTAGGGTAAATTTTGTTTATTTACCACTAAACCCTGTACTGAGAGCTGTTCATGGGCTCCATCCTTCTGCATATGATTACAATCTCAAACTGTGCATGTTCATGAATGCACTACCTCTACAAGTGACCAGGAGTCCTCCCTCTGTGAATGCGTGGAGCCCCATAAAAGCTCCTTGCTTTCAAGGAGAGCTCAGCTTTGCACGTTAACTGCAGTGCTCTCCTTACCCGCTGCATGTAACCAGCTTCCACTCCTGTTTCCTGGCTGTGCTTGTTAGCTTTGCGTGTGCCCGCTGCATTTGGCTGCAAAGCTGTGTAACCTTTGAGACTGGCTTTTACACTTAGTATAAAGTGGGTATGCACTGTTCAGATTGCTCTGTCTACCCGTAGGTTACTCCCTCTGGTTGATGAGTAGTGCTCTACTATATAGCTAGATCACTCCATTCTGCACTGTCACCCACTGAAGGATACCGAGCTTTTTCTGGTTTGGGGATATTATAAATAAAGCTGCTATGAGCACTAATGCACAGGTCTTTGTACAAATGCATGCTTTGTTTACCTAGGATAAACATCCAAGAGTGCAGCTGTCCAATCATTGTTAAGCCTATGTTTACATTTCTGAGAAACTGTCAAACTAATTCCAGAGTATCCAAACCTATACATTTTACATCCCCTCTAGCAACATAAGTTAGGACTTCTAAAATATTTTCTGGGAGCCTGAAGAAGCAAATACCCAAAGACTTTTTCTTATTACCTCTAACAAAAAAGTTATAATTTCACATAATCTGCATGCTGATGGTCACTGCCATATAGGACAATAAATTGCAAAAGAAAAAAAAGGGAGAGAAAATAACACCGAAGTCTATATTAGAAATAGTTAGTTTGTCTTCTTCCAGAGACAGTTTGTACACCTTTAATCCCAGTGCTCAGAAGGCAAAGCCAGGCAGATCTCTGTGAGTTCCTGGCCAGCCTGGTCTATACAGTGAGTCCAGGCCAGCTGGGGCTACAGCAGAGAGACCCTGTCTTAAAAAGACCAAAACAAAAAAAAAAACAAAACAGCAAAAAAAAACAATAAAAAAACACACAGTAACAGTCTGTAGTCTATGAAGGCTAAGTGCTCTGTATTGTGAGACAAGATGCCAGTGTGCAATGCATCAATACAGACTACAACAAGAGGATCCGTCCCTGTAACACTTGGTAAAATAATTTAAGCAATGCAACCTCAAATAAAACTGTAGTTATCCTCGCTGTAGGAGTTGAAACTTCATATGCTTTATCTTACATAAAATTGGCAATTATAGAATATAGTCTTCTTTGTGTTCTTAAAACAAGAAGCTAAGCCTAGAGAAGAGATCTGCTCACTCAAACAGCAGCTAGAAGGCCTGTCCACAAGGAGAAATCTACCACACAGAAAGCGATCCTAAGGTCCCACACCGTGACTCTGCCACCTTCATGACTGACGACCTCCAGTTCTCACTTTAGTCCCTTGTGCAACCATCCAGTTCCTGATAACTGAGTTGCGTAAGACACATTTCCTTCCAAATTAAGTATGTTTACTTAAGTAGTGACAAAAGTCAAGTCTCAAGCCAGTCACTTCACAATTTAATTATGACTTAATGCATATGCTTAGTGATGTTCATATATGCATATTCATCCTAATTTTTAAATATACTAGAGCACTGGTTTCCATCTTTTATGACACACACTCACATAAAGATAGGAGTTGTTGTAAAGGTTCATCAAAATGCATACAGTCATGAGCCAACTAACCTTATCTTTCAATGACAAAGTACACAGAAGTTCCATAAGATGATGCTATCTGGGGCTGGAGAGATGGCTCAGCAGTTAAAAGCACTTGCTGCTATTTTAGAGGACCTGAGTTCAGTTCCCAGAATCCATATGGGGTGGCTGTTAATTACAGATCCAGAGGATCCAATGACCAGTTTTGGTCTCCTCGGGCAACCACATTCATACACACATACACACACACACACACACACACACACACACACAAATTAAAAATAAATCTTTGAAGCTGGGCATGATGGCATATGCCTTTAATCCCAGCACTTAAGAGGCAGAGGCAGGCGGATCGCTGTGAGTTCGAGGCCAGCCTGATCTACATAGTAAGTTCCAGGACAGCTGGGGATACAGGGAGACTCTGTCTCAAAAAGACCAAAAAAAAAAAAAAAAAAAAAAAGAAGGCTGACCGGGGCCAGGAGTGCAAGCCAGTTTCTATTTTTTAAAAATGATGTCACCTACTGACATGGTGGCAGTGTCACCATTCATGATGTCCTCCACACACCTGCTAACAATGCACCTCTCATTTCTCAGAACATGCCTGTTGCTTAGTGATGCATGACTAAACTCACTTGAAGACTAAATGATTCACAACATGAATTCTCCCAAGCTGACATACACGCCATGCCTAATGAGATTGAGTTTATTAAAGAATAGTAGTGAAAGGCTCCTGTCATCAGTGTTTGTTGCTAAATGTAATACCTTATCTGGAGGCAGAAGACATCTCATTCCATTCCTCTCTAGGCTCTGAAGAGCTTCTTTAAAGCACTGCCTAGCCAGGTTGGTGTGAGTACCACCCCCACCCCCCCCACACACACTCAACACTTGGGAGGGAAAGTCAGGAAGACTGCTGTGAGCTCCAGTCAACCTAGGATACAAGTGAGTTCCAGGGCAGCCTGTCTCAAAAAACTAAAATTAAATAAAAACAAAGCGCTACGCATATGTCACCTACAAGAAGGATGTATCTGAGTTTAAGTACAAAGATTTAAGGCAAGTCAGAGATGGAGCAAGAATAACCGGGAAAGTGCATGGTCCCTTCCCAACAGCACCTTCCTCACGTGGGCCACTGAAAACATTCACAGGGTATCACAGTGCTGACCCTCTTCACATTATGACAAGTGAAAACACAAAGAAACCAGTCAAAAGTTTCACCACCTAGCCAAATGCTTTGTCACCAGATCTATAACCTTCCTAAATTTGCTTCAACGAAACAGTTAGGATAGCAAGGATAGATTCTGCACCTAGCACAGTTCCTGGCAAACAGGAAGCATGTGATCTCTGGCATCTTCTCATTCTCACAAAGAATCCTGACAAGCACATAAAATATCCTTCCAGTCCAAAAAATACATTCCAGTCCCACCCGGTTACCAATCCATTCTCAGAACCTATTGCGACCGATTTCTCCTCAGTTACACCTACTAAGTAGCAGAATTAATTCCCAGCAGGCTCACTGCCTGATATATGGAGATAAGACCATTTGTACATTTGCATAAATTCAGAGTGATCCTTCATCTGATGTAAAGTAAATTTCATGTCCAAATATGTTTTATTTTTCAAATCAAAGCCTACTCATGGCATGTGTATTAGGGATACCTTTGAGAGGAAAAAAGCAGCTGTCAAAATTAAATGCTTTTTTTTTTCCTTTTTTAGATATCTGGGGCATTCATTTATTATTATTTCACATTAGTTCTCAAAGTTAAAAGCTGGCCTGTTTCCTTCAAAAATTTTAATTTTAGAGTCTGTCAACATTTTTAATGCATTGCTGTTATTTTTAAAATATACACGTGCACACTGTAATAAAACTCGGCACAAGCTTTCCATAGAACCCTTCCCTGGGCACTCACTAACTTTTTATGTGCCAGGCTCCATGCTTAACGCATCAACTCCATCATCTCATTTGTTTAACAAATAGACTCTCATGATTTCTGCAGCCCGACGCATAAGTGCGATCGGTACTGGATACTAGCACTGTAGCAAGTCAGTGATGCCTAACACAAATGTGTTATTCAACTCAACCCGCGGTACTGTGTTGACACGGAATCCGTCAGCAATGTTGGGACTCGGAGAACACCATCTGTGTCAGCAACAAGAGGGAACGCTATTATTAAGTGACTTCATCACTTAAGTCACATCGCTTTCGATAGGTAATTGATGAACACTAACTGCCCAGAAATTTAATTCCAAGTGTAACGGTAGACTAAATCTTCCCTAAAGGATTACCCCGAGCATATTACAAAAAGTGAGATGCCTATATTCTGAACTCTTAAAATAAGTGCTGTTCTACATTGTTTTTAACTCTTCTGAATTCCAGACTCAACAGATGGACGATTCCAGTTTAAAAAAAAAAAGAAAGAAAGAAAGAAAAAGGCAAGGCATAATTAAAGAAGCTCGTCAACAGCCCCCTAAATTTAACTACCACCCTCCCAAAGGCTAAGCCCGGATTTCCAAATTGTTACAAAAATGGAAGATGGGGAAAAGAAGGAGTTTACACAAACAATAACAACAACAACAACGAGTGGTTTACAAGAGGAGACAGAATAATGGGTGACCTCATCAGGACCCTCCCCATGTCTCTCCCTGTCACTCTGGCCGGTTCCTCGCTCTCACCCAGATCACCTAAGTTTTTGGACTGGAAACAGTCTAAACCATCGTCCAAACTTTGGCGCTGGGGAAACCGTGTTTGCCTCGGCCCGAGCTGCACCACCCGGGCTGCTGGAGCGAGCGGAGGGACGCCGAGGGGGCTGCGAGCATCCCCGCAGCAAGCTGAGCTCAGGCCGCTCCCCAGGCCTCCTCGACGCAGGGCAGGGAGGCTCCGGGCCCGGCCTGCTCCCTCTCGGGTCCGGGTCACGGTTCCCCCCGTGGGAGATCGGCTCTCGGAACGCACAGACTACGTTTCCGGGCTTGCTTCTAGAACGCGGCCCGCGGCTGCTCGAAAACGCCGGCTTCCCGAGGGCCGAGCCCGGCTGGATGTCCCGACCCGACCCCGCGCAGGCCGGGAAGGAGCTGGCACCGCACCCCGCCGCCCTCAGGGCCCCCGCCCGCCGCCCGTCCCGGGCCGCCCTACCCCAAGCCGCTACCCTGCAGTCCACCGCCCAGTACGAACTTCCCGCCGCTTTCGCCGACTCGCAACTAGCCAGCCGCGCAGTCCCTTCCACACCCTGCAGTACTGAGACTTCCCATTGGCTGTGAGCGACGGGCGAGGCGGGGCGAGACGAAGGCGGCGGGACGGAGCCCTGCGTCCCCGCCACCTCCGTGAGCATGCCGGGAGTTCTAGTTCCCCGAGCTCGCTGCATGCTGGGAAGTGTAGTCTTTGAGCCTCGGAGTAAGTCGTGGGCCCTCTGACCCTGAGGGCTTCTGGGAAGTGTGGTTTGCTGCCTCTGCTTCCTACCTAATCCGATATTGTGGCCCTCAAAGCAGCAGGAACTGAAGTAAATATTGCTAGTGCTCGAGGTGGCTTGATTTATTGTGTGTAGACAAAGGATTGGATGCAAAAGACCTACTTGTGCATACTGGAAGCCTGTCTCAGTGTCTTTCTAACCTCTGCGGTATTTTAGTTGCAATTCTGACGTCAGTTTGCTTTCCTTCGCTTGTCTCCCAGCTTCTATGAGACTGGAAACCCCTGTGCCTTGGATTGCACCTTCTGAAGCCCGGGGAAAAGCCTTGACGGTGTTTACAGAGTTTTAGGGTTGTTTGGCTTCGCTTTGTTGCCAATGTAAGGTATTTCTGTGTTTTCTTAAACTGAATCCTAAAAATGTGTATGAGCTTCAGGCCCCACAAAACCTGAGTCACTGTCCAGTGAGCAGAAAAACATTGCTTCTGATGTCTGACGATTTGCTGTTCCAGGTACCCTCCCCTACTCTGTTTTCTAACCTATCATGTCTTCTGCCCTAGGTGACTGACCTCTACTAAGCACTTCCAGGTTCCCTGTCTTTGGTTGTGTTTGAGCCACGGGGAACCCTACTGAGGACTGGAAGGGAAAAGAAAAGTGAGTTAAAGTAGGTAGTATTCCTCTTTGACAAGGATGCATCCAGATGGAAGGGTCCCTTAGTTGAAGGTCACCACTCTCTGGGCCTCCCTCCAGTATGTAGTGAGGGCAGCCCTGTGTGTGTGTCATGACTGGAACTCATAACACCATAGCTGCCTCTGAGCCAGGAGCTACTGCTCCATCCTGTGTGGCTGGCTCCCACTCCACACCTTTCTAAACAGCTTCGCTGCAAATAAACCCTCCTCAGATGGTCCTCTCTCACTTTTGTTGTTGGCTTTCTATGGACACCCTGATGGACACACAAGCACAAGGTGAGCACTTGATGAATATTTGTCAGCAAAGAGGTCTCCAGATTCACACATCTCCTAAGTGTGAACTGCCACAGTGGGACTCTGTGGGCAGAATCCTGTGAGTGAAAGACATTCTGCCCACACAAACACGCATGCACACACACACACACACACACACACACACACACACACACACACCCGTGCTAAGAAGGCTTGGAACAGGATTTATCTGTTACAGTGTAACTGTGTTCCCCTAACCTCACATGCAGAAGAAAGGCAGGCCCCTGCCTACACACTGGGTTAACAATTGGCTGACCTTAAAGCACTGTTAAATCAGCAACAGGCCATGGACTGTTCCAAGGTGAGAATAGACTGTATTCTGGAGCTCAGGGCTCTGGCACTCTCTGTCGGATGGCTCTCAGTTAAGTGCTGTTTTGATGCAGCTATGTTCTACGGCAGTTGCCAATACCTCCAACACCACCCACACATGCTGAGAAGTCCTGCCAGTGCAGAGCATGGCAGGGGACCAGTCCAAGCTGCCGTCATGGAGACAGCATGTCTGAAATGCCACCGGTGTGGGTGCAACTCCTGGGACATGGGGACCCTCAGCAAATGTTTATGAGTTGATAGGTTGGAATAGCGACCAGGGTACACAAGTCAAGACCTGCCGCTACTGGGCTTTTGAAATTAAGAGCAGAACTGAGGAAGAAAGGCTTATGAATATAATCCTGCCATAAAATACCCCTGCAGTCCACACAAATGTTTGCTAAACATTTACTGTGAGCAAGGGGTTAAACTAACCACCAAGGCTTCTGGTTTAACTCATATTTAAGGAAGCCCTACTATCTGTTAGGCAGGCACTGTGCTTTTTTATATATTTTACCTCCCCAAATTCTTAGAAGAAAATATATGAAATAATTTAAGGGATTCAGATTCCCCAATTCTACTTCAAATGTTCGCTTGGCCTCAGAACAGGAGTCATTCTTGTAAAGAAATAATTTCAGTATGGTGATAAAGACTTGTTCCGAATGGGGTCGTAGTTAAATTGTGAGATCCCTAATTAAGGAATCACCATGGATAAAGCAGGGAAGACCAACTAAAATTTTGTATATAGAATCTTCATCAGCTTGCCATATAGCCAGGTCCCCAGGTTGGCCTTTTACATTTCTGAGAGCCTTTCTGTAGGCCTGGGAACCCTAGCAGAGAGCCCTGAAAAAGTAACCAGGATAAGGCATTCTGGGAAAGAGGGCAGACTGGTGGTGTCTTCCCATGGTAGGAACTCCATCTGGGAGCTCCAAGCAGTCAGGATAGTCATTAGAAAGCTAGGCTGCCCCGGCAGGCTGTTCAGCGGGTGCCCACTCCTCCCATGAGTCAGTTCATGAGTCCTGTCGTTTTCATCTGTGGCGTGGGAACAGTCATCCTGGCCTAACTAGCAATTTGCCACCGCCAGACCAATGGGAGACAAGTGAGGTAAGGCCGAAAAGACCTTTGATCCAGCTGGAACAAAGCCACAGGGTGTCCTTGTGCATTACAGTAACCAAGAAAATACCACCTCCTGGAAAGAGAGAAATGAGAGGGGAGTGAGGAACAGAGGGTGTGCGGGGTCTCCAAAGCCCTTGCTTTGTGCTCACCAAGTCCCTTGACTTTTGAGCGTCTCTTATGTACCAGGCATTTATAATCCAGAGGAAGAGCCAGGTATGTGCACAAGTTCCAGTAAAAACATAATAAAATCAATTACTTTGCCATGTAACCATGCAAGGATATAGGGCCTCAGTAGTCTGGATAAACAGACCAAGCTCCAGAGCTGTAATTAGTTAATCCCAATTGTCAACTTGATGAGGTCTAGAATCAGTTGAGAGAGGGGCCTCTGGGTGTGCCTGTGAGGGATTATCTTGATTCTGTTCCTTGAAGTGGGAAGACCCCACTCCCTCTGGATGGTGCCATTGCCTGGCTGGTATACCAGACTGTATAAGTGGAACAAGGGAGCTGAACAACAGCATTCACTGCTCTTGCTTCTTGACCGAGGATGCGATGTGACCAGCTGTTTTGACCTCCCCACCATGATGGGATTTACCATGAACTATGTACAAGCTAGAATAAAGCTTTTCTCCCTTAAGTTGCATTTGTCGTGGTATTTTATCACAGCAACAGAGGTAACTAAGACAACCATGAACTGACGTTGATCTTCTCAAGGTCACCTGGAAAATGTAGTGGGGTCAGAGCCCCTGGACGCCTAGGGACCCTGTGGGCTGCTGCACCAGTGCCAGCTAGCCCAGCCCTTCGGTGGCTTCAAAGATACTCAAATCTCAGTGTTAAGTGCTTTTCTCTTTACGATATCTATCATGGTTACTGTGTCTCATGATAAACTTGGTACAGAAGAGAACGTGGCCCCCACAGATGCAATCTCTCGCATCACCTCTATGTTTTTAACTTTTAATTACATTTAGTTACTTATTATGTGTGTGTGTGCCTGCTTATGCACATGCCAAGGCACACCTGGAGGTCAAAGGACAACTTGTAGGAGTCTGTTTTCTCCCTCTACCTCATGGGGCCCAGGGATTGAACTCAAGTTGTCAGGCTTGGTGACAGGTGCCTTTACCCACTGAGCCATCTCACCAGGACACTCTCATCAACCCTAAAATACACGCTCTTCACATTTTTAATCTCGCTGAAATCTGGACACGTCTTGCGATCTGTGCCTGTTGCAATCAACAGTGTTCTTATTATTTCTCTATTAGTAGCACATAAAATAATGGCGGTCTTTACACATGATGAAGTCTTAGATGTAATGAAAGTCCCAGGTGCCTGCCGCTTTGCTCATTGGGAATTCCCTCCAGGTCGTTCCTCCTCTTCATTCCACTTCCCACAATGAGCCACAGATCATCCTAAACTCCTATGGGAACAGATCTTTCTCCCTGCTTCATATTTTTTGAAAGTAAAGACAAACCTCTTCAGAGAAAAAGGGAGTCAGTGTGATGGGAGGGAATAAGGACACCTCAGTCTCGAACCTTCTCTGCCATGTGTATAAATTATTAACCTTGATGAACCTCAGCCTCCCACCCTCACCCCATCCTCATCTGTTACATCTGTTAATGCACAGCACTTGTAAAATTCTTGACCCAAAAGATACTCAGGAAAGGTGGCCTCTCTTAGTTCCTCTTTCAGAACATCATATGGTCCCTTTCCCTCATCACTCCATCTCTAGCTATAACAGCTATCATTAGGTACCCTCAGTGGCTAGACACAGATTCAGATCAGATACATGTACATACCCATATATAGCCGCCAAGTTACCAACCGGGAAAGGAAGGCAAGCTGGTTCAAAAACAAAAGCAAATCATCGCTTTTATTTTTGCAACCATCTAACTCTTGTCATGTTTTGATTTCAGGACTGCTCCAAGATTCGGGGACAAATAAGCATGATTATGAGACTCAAAAAGGTTCTGAGCAAAACAAAGTCCTTTTATCACAAAAGAATTGGGAAGGCTTGTTGCTAAATACAGTTACTGCATAGAAATGCAGTTTCCCTTTCCTACCCATCACCATTGTCACCTCCCATATCAGGAAATGTTTCTGCCAGATAAACTCTGTCATGTTTTTGCACATGTTGGGTGTTGTCTGGAGTACTTTAGTACTTTAGAAAGCTAGTATCTCGTCCAGTCTTCTCAGCAACCCTGGGAGGTGAGGTGCCATGGCTAGACCTTTTACAGTCAAGGAAATTGAGTCTTTGAGAACCCTGGCATCTTACCCAAAGCCACAGAGCTGATAAGTAGAGCCAAGATCAGAACTTCAGGGAACCCTAATCTTCAGAGCGTGGTCATCTGAATGAGTGGTCAAGTGGTTCTTCCC